TATCGTGAGTTAAATATTGTGATAATATCGTATCGTGGGATGTATGGTGATTCCCACCTCTATAAGACAACCATATTGTAGTAAGCTAAGCGCTCATTTTTGTGCACTCTATATTTTTAAATATTTGAATAATGTTAACACTTAGCAATTGATTTGCATCAATTAATTATTTTGCAGGATTTCACATTTTTTACCTACGAGTCACCTCAAAAACTGACCGCTGAGTGAGTTAATTTGTCATGGAGCTCCCAGGTCAGGCACTTGCTGGCTGTATAGTGACGGATGGTTGAATTTCTGTCCCCACAGATTTCAGCACAATAAGTCTGAGGAGTTCAGGCAGCCCGCATCCTCAGGCCGACCTGAGACCTCTAGCGCCAAATCCCTGATGGACATCGGGACCCGCCGGATCTTCAATGAGGACCATGACCTCTTCAGACAAAATGTGCGGCGCTTCTTCCAAGAGGAAGTAGTGCCTTACCACAAAGAGTAGGTGGAAGTTTGATGACCTACCAAGAATTATTAAAATAAGCCTTTAATAGCTTTACTTCAACTGTTTTTTGTTGCAGGTGGGAGAAGGCAGGTCAGGTGAGCAGGGAGGTGTGGGAAAAGGCTGGTGAGCAAGGTCTGCTGGGAGTAATGACAGCAGAAGAGCATGGTGGCATAGGAGGAGACCTGTTTTCTGCAGCTGTCACATGGGAGGAGCAGTGAGTTGTCCTTCAAACCACCGTTCTATATCTGAAGCTATTCACCGACATTCAGAGAGACTGAAATATTTTAGCAATGAGTTCCAGCTGAGATGTGATTTTAAAAACACAAGAAAGAGAATTAAGCTTTTTCCAAGTGAGGACATGTGATCGATCCATTGCTGCAGTTGTTTTTTTCTTTTTATCCAGGTATGATTTTACCACTTCAGAAAGCTTGGAGAACTGTTGCTCAATACCATTTAAAAAAAAAAAACAATCACAAGAAAGTAGCTTTAGTGATGATGACCAGTGTATTTGCCAGATCTTATAGTCAGCTATCTCTTCATCCTTCATCTCATCTCTGCTGTCTGCACCACTACAGAATGTATTGCAACTGCACAGGCCCAGGTTTTGCGCTGCACTCTGACATCGTCATGCCCTACATCGTCAACTACGGCAGCAAGGAACAGATCAAACACTTTATCCCAAAGATGACCGCTGGGAAATGTATCGCTGCCATCGCCATGACTGAGCCAGGAGCAGGCAGGTCAGGACTAAAGCACAAATATAACATCAAGAAATCAGCACACATAATGTCAGGTAGCTTCAGCGACTCAGCTCCTCTATTTTTTTCCAGTGACCTTCAGGGTGTGAGGACGTATGCCAAGAAGGATGGCAGTGACTGGATCCTCAACGGCAACAAGGTACTGAGTCAAGACTTCAAAAGTATCCACTCAATTACATTTAAAGTCCAGTATAGATATTACTCCATCTGACCTCTTCAGGTATTTATTACAAATGGTTGGATGGCAGATCTGGTGGTGGTAGTGACCGTGACCAACCGAGAGGCGAAGACGGCAGCACACGGGATCAGTCTGTTCCTGGTGGAGGAGGGCATGAAGGGCTTTCACAAAGGGCGGAAGCTGGAGAAGATTGGCCTGAAAGCCCAGGTACCAGGGTCATGGAAATATATGAAGTGCCCCTACATCATTTCTTGTGGTCTACAAGTGTAGGTTTAACTGGTTCAGTGTTTCAAAATCAAAAAGAAGTATCTGTCTGAAACAGCTTTTGTGTCTGTGGGACGATCAGACTGCTCTGATTGTTCAGCTGAAGAAACAAAGGCAATTTTGATTGCACATATAACTCTCTTAGCACTTTAAATTTCAAACCTTTACTGTAAATTACAGTTTATACAAATGCATGAGGCTAAAAAGTGACAACAGAACTTTGTCATTTGTGCTACTAAGGATTTATACTTCATTACATCCTCTCACTTGTGTTTCTGCTTCTTTCAAAGGACACAGCTGAGTTATTCTTCGAGGATGTTCGCCTCCCAGCTGATGCCCTCTTAGGAGAACTCAACAAAGGTTTCTATTACCTGATGAATGAACTCCCTCAGGTGAACACAACATTTATGGCATGTTCATATCAGAAACATTTAATGCCTCCACTGAAGGAGTAACTCTCCGTACCTTGAACCTGGGTGTAGATCCAGTCTGGCTGCACCCATATTTTTACAAAATGAAATGCCTAAAACATCTTTATATTCATAACTTGAACCTACAGACATGTATCTTTGGATTTTTAGCCTCATCGTCTTTGTACTTTGGCACTCCTAAATATGTTTTATCACGTGCTTGTACACATCATCTGCATATAACGTCTCACATGGGTTCATTTGACGTCAAACAACCTTTTCCCTTCTCTAGGAGCGTCTGCTGATTGCTGACATGGCCATAGCGAGCTGTGAGTTCATGTTTGAGGAAACCAGAAATTATGTAATGCAGCGGAAGGCTTTTGGCAAAACAGTCGCTCACCTTCAGGTCTTTATAGTAATTCTTTTGGTGAATATTTTTAGGATATTTCATGTAAGTATATAGTCTGTCCTGCTGAGTTCCTATTAAAAGAGGACCAGTTTATCAAATCATCCTCCCAGTCATCATACTATCTGTTTTTTGTCTTTGCGCTCCACAGACTGTGCAGCACAAGCTTGCAGAGCTAAAGACCGAGATCTGTGTGGTTCGAGCCTTCCTGGATAGCTGCCTTCAGCTCCATGCTGAGAAAAGCCTGGATCCTGCCACGGCCTCCATGGCCAAGTATTGGTGAGTTTTTGGAGTTTACCACCTCATGATCTAAAGGCTAAGCTGTGTTGTTGTCACGTGCTGATGTACTTCATCTTATCTGAAGGGCGTCTGACCTCCAGAACAGAGTGGCCACTCAGTGCCTGCAGCTCCACGGAGGCTGGGGGTACATGTGGGAATACCCCATCGCCAAGTTAGTATCACGTAAACATTGCAACAGAGAGCTTTGATTGTTTTGGGGTTTTTTCCAGCTCATCAACATGTTTGCGTTTTCAGGGCATTTGTGGACTCGCGAGTTCAGCCTATCTACGGAGGAACCAACGAGATCATGAAGGAGCTCATCGCCCGTACCATCGTCAGCCAGAAGTGAAACTGGGTTGTCGTTTTTTGTAATCTTTTTTTTTTTTAAACCCACAAAACTGTCAATAAAGATCTCCAGTTTAGTTTTTTTTCCTGTAGGTGTTACACTCATATCGTTATGTGAATTATTTCGGCTGTGATAGCCGTGCAGTGGAAGTGTGAATGTGAACACCAGTACGTCCACTGGTTTAATTATACTTGAAATTTTCAGATCGATAAAGGGAATAAAAGAACACTGTTTGCTCTTTGCTCTAATTCTGTAAATGTTCAACCACTGTATTCCCCTTTATGCTCCTTTTAAAGAGAAGTTTTGAGCAGCAGGTGGGCGGAGCTTCTGCACTCACACGACTGTATATGTAATATTAAGGATGGACATACACTGACCTCATGAGTTGAATCTTTGGACATAATAATAATAATTTTAGCATTCAGCATTGCTACGGTACACATATGACAGGAAATACAGAGAATTTTCTTCAAGTTTGTCAGCAATGCCTTGTTTTAGCATTGATAATGTGGCCAGTCTGCATCAGATTAAAGATATCTGACATAATTTCCCTTAAAGGAGGTTTTCTTTTTCAAAATCAGTGTTTTTTAATATGCACTTAAATGCCTGCTTTCATAATCTGCCACTCTTAGTTAATTTACAAGCGGCATGAACAATGTTTAACACTAGACACTTGTTGTAAATTGATTTATTTGCCAATAAAAACCATTCAAAGTGCATGAAGCACTAACTTTGTGCCAGTGATTCTCAGCTCTTGTTTGTGAGTGTCATGAATGTAATTAAATAAATGACATGGAGTGTGACTGAGAAGGGAGACTCCTCTAAATGCCAATTTTAGATTCTGTACATGGAAAATCCCCCAGATTTTTGGAAAAAGTCCTAGCTTTTTTAACATTTTTGAGCCCTCGTAACTTCTTAAAAATAGGATATATCTTTTTGAAATTTTCAGGCCTGAAAATATATTTCAGGTCTTAAAAGCTACAATCAAGACAAAATTTTCACATGTTCCAAGTTTAAGAATTCAAGACTGGCAGGTCAGGTAAGCAGGGAGGTGTTTTACCTCTCGAAGATCCTCTGAAGTTTCAGAAACATCTTTCGGATACGGTTCCCTGATGCTTCAGGGAACATCTAGTGACAGCTTATTGAAAGTTATGTCACTCTGCAAGTCTCTCTACATACAGCACAGACTGTAGTAGGTTTAAGATCAATGGGGTGGAACTGTCTGCATCATTACATAAACATGAATTATGAATTACTGGCAAGTGTTAATTATAATTAACTCAGATTTGTGCATACTTGCATTCTTAATTCATCAGTTATGGGTTGTTTTAGTTAAACATCAAAATAAAGATGTCTGCTTTAAGTGCCACACTGATTTATGCTGCATATACTATGCTTAATAATATGACAGCGTCAGCATCTTCAGTGCATTGACTTACTTCCATCAGTAGGTGGCAGTAAGGGACTGCTCAAACCTGGAGGAGCCCATGACAGTGCAGTGGAAAAAAGCAGGCTGTTGAATTAGACCTGATGATTTAAAGCATCCCTTCAAAGTTTGAAGCTCGGTTTTTTTGCACGTTAGGCTTGCTGGTGACCACGTTTTCTGCACATTTATTCAGAATTTTGGAGCATCAGTGTTTCAGAGCTTGTGTATATTTGTAAATATGGAGTCATGTCATTGTCTGTGACCATCACGCCTCACCTCGAGGGCACTGTGAGAGTATCTGCTGTTGACTAGAGGTGGCTCAAATTGATCCAAATATATGGGTAATGCTGTACCAATAATTGGTATCGCTGGATACTTTGTTTCTGTCCTCCAAGTTCAGTATGTATCCTGCTTAATTGTTCTAAATAAGTTATTGTTTTTGAAAACTAAAAAATAGACCTCAAACATTCATTATGAAAGATGTCCCCACCTTTTTGTGTTAACTGTCAGTCAGTCTGTTTTTTTACTGTTTCGTTTAAAGCCTGTAACGCATTTAAACAGTAGAGGTTGACCCAAAGTTCTTTATAGCCAGGCACATTTAGGTTCCAGGTCTAAAATAAATGTTTCGATTACGTTAAACGCTGATTATTCGTCAGATAAATCGTGGCCTTTGTGAGATCAACATAAGCTGCCTTTGTAAGTTGAGCCTATTGGTATCTGTATTAGTATAGCAATACTACTGCACAGCTCTCGTGTTCACTGGTCCATCTCCTCTGCCTCCTTCCCATTTTCCCCCATAGCCCCACTCGTCTAACCCCCTCCTCTCCTTTTTCTTCTCCATCTTCCCTCAGCAACAGCCACACCCCGGTGCTTCAGCTCCGCGCTCACATCCACTGCAGACAGAGAGCTGACCCCTTTGCATCAAATCACTCAAAGCCCTTTAGCAATGACCTGACATCAAACCTTTACACCTATATGTGCGTGTGTCAGTATTTACAGGAGCTGCGTTGTGTTTTCTTTATTTTTGTGTTTTTACACTACAAAGATGTTGCACAGATTCTACATCATCGCATACTGAAGCCACCTAGTCCGCCTTGCGCGCAGACTTCTGCATTTACGGTAGCTTCATTTGCAACGGGGAGGGGCCACAGGGCCCCATACCGCTCTCATTGTCACCACAGCTCTCTTCCTATCCAAGGGCATTAGTGCCGCTCAGCAGCCTGAACCTCCAGGTAAGACCCAAATCGCTTTGCTTCGTCATGTGCGGGGAAATTAGACTTTACGATGGCGCAAAGCAGCGCGGATGCGCAAATTTAAGATGTAGGATTGCGACACCGGCTGCTGGGAAAGTTTGACAAAAAGTCAGAGTCTGCACATCAATGTCGCTGTCCACTAATCCTCCGCTGCTGTGTGTGGTTATGGTGTTAATTATGGTTATGTGCGTGATTCTTAGAGAGAATGGGGGATGTCTGCGAGTGTGGCGGATTGAAATGCGTGCCTTTTAAAGTCGCTTTTCAGTGGAGACTTGTATTTAAAATGCTGTTAGGCAGATGTGTTAACCTGGGTATTAATTTGCGGCATTTGTCACCGTCTCGCTGCGTCCCTGCGAGGCTCTCTGCGCTGCTGCATCCTGCGCCTTTTGTTCTGGTCCACGCCTGCATGGTGCTGAAACCGGCGCCGCTCGCAGCCATCCACTGCAGGAAAGGATCCCCCTTTTTCTGCAGTGGATATTTAAAAGGAAAACTGTAAATATAAGTGCAATATAATTGTGGATTATTATAGTTATCCCCATCTCAC